CCGCCACTGCGTGCATCTGTCTCGGCTGCGGGGGCTGCGTCCACAGCGAGTGCCCCACCGCTGGCTGCGGGGGCGGCGATGGGGGCGGCGCGGCGGCCACATTCGTCGCGCGCGGAGACTCCTTCTTCCCCCGCTTGCGGCGCCTCTGGGCAGGGGCGGCGCCTGCTTCTCCCAAGGGCTTGGGCTCGCGCGGGGGCGGCGGCGGGCCAGGGTCGTAGTCCGGGTTCTCGGGCTGCCACCGCACGCCGGTTGTGGTGTTCAAGGGGCGTCCATGGACGAAGTCGAACGTGTAGTAGACCGCCCGGGGGGGCGGAGACATGGCGAGAGCCATCGCGTATAGGCGCTGGTAGAGCACGAACCCAGAGTGCGCGTCGTTTGCGGCGTCTGGTGAGCAGCAGATGGACGTGAGAACAGGTGGAGATTAGATGCGGATGGGTGTACCCACATTCTTGTTGTGCGTCGGAGAGCGACCGCTCCCAGTTGCTCCGTGTGATTTTGGATTTGAGTAGCGTAAGCTTCTCGTACGCCGCGCAGAGCCGCGCGAGCCCTATCGGTGCAGTGTATTTTCCCTTCCACTGGGCATTGTCCGCTGTGCGCGCCAGAAGAGAAAGGTCGACGCAGTTGCGGATTGGCACGGCGTGGTCATTGAAGAGCTTCTTGCAGTCGCCTGGCTTGGGCATGAAGGGGGGACAAGAAACGGGAAGGCTCGAACATACCCTGGATGCCAACCCCGGCCTTCACGAAACGTGTGTCCATCAAGATCTCCCTCAACTTCACCGGGAATACTAAGCGATGCCTGCGGCTTAGATCTAATCGCACTTGGAAGACACGAACACTCATACCTCGCATAGCGCTGATTTGGATCAGGAGGATGACCTCGTCGTTTGCGAGCTGGATGAGCGCAACGGGATTTTCCCGCTGTCCCTGCACGTATGTCGGCTTCCACTCCATGTCGAAACCAAGCGGACCGGGGGTCAGACGTGATAGTGCTTCGTTCGCCGTCTCGGGATAGCATATGTAGAGCAGTCTGGCATTCGGCGACTTGTCTTTCCAGGAATACAGAGGATGTTCAGGAACATCAGGCGGGGCGACTGCGACGTTTGGACCAGAACCAGTTGTGCCCGCACCGTTGAGAAGCATCATGATAGACGTGAAGCAAGAATTGGACTGGGCAACCAAGCTCTTAGAGTACTCGAGTGACCGCTTTAGTGACCAGCTAGCGCCTGCGTTTCGTCGGAGTGTATTATCGATAGGCTCAGACACAGTATGGCTCGGAAAGGGGGAATGCAGTTGTGCAGTCCCGGCTGGCTGGGCGACTTTATAGACGAAACGAGCACTGTGCACCGGTGTGCGCAACAAAGACATTCGCCAGGCTACCCCGTAGCCCGTTGCCAGAAACGTTGTATTCGCGCAAGAGTGCGCGCGCTACCTTGTTTTCAAACCGAGAGCAAGGACTTACGCCTAGCTGGATCTTAGACGCCAACCAGAAAACGCTGCCCAACGCAACGGCAGAGTCAAGTAAAAAAACCACGGGCGATACTCTCAGAATTAGGCGGCGTTCGGTGGGAGCAGAGCTGCAAGTAACTGAGGTTCGGCTGAGATACGACGTGAATAACTATGAATCCGCAGAGGAGAAACCTTCGCTGGCAACATTGTTGAGGCTACTGCGTTCGGCGCGCGCGCAGACTCCGGCCCGCCCATGTTTGATCTCGCGCCACAATAACAACAACGCACCTGGTCCGTGCGCAGCCCACCGCAGTATATAAGCCGCCTCCAGACATTACGAATCCTTACCACTCTGGCCTTTTGGCTTAGATCAAGTGTAGTATCTGTTCTTAATAGTTTAACCACTATTATGGAGGCACCGCCTCCATTATTGGTTATCTAATTTTTGCCGCCCTTGTCCCTCGGGCTCTGCTTGCAACCTGGGGGTGCGATGACCTTGCTACTGCAGTGCCGGCTTGCGTCGTCGGGGGATCTCACTTTTCTTTTTGCTGGATTATCTTCTGCTTGTCTCTTGGCAAGCTGTGGAATCTGGCAAATGGAAATGGTGGCTCTCTGCTTCTCCTTATGTAGTTGTAATGATGGATATGTATAGTTGACTGTGTGTTTGTATGCATGAAGGTGCCCTATGATGGACATTAGATATTTGGCCATGCAACTACAAATATCACAACTACACCCAAGAAAAACCTTGTCATGTTAATCCTGCCTGTAAAATACAGAACATATCTCATTGATGTAAATAGTTAGGGCACATTTCGCGCGTAGAACTCATACTAATCTAACTAGAATTTTCTGTTGACGCACCCGAACCCTCCGCCATCGCATATAGCGCGTCCCTATCACCGCTCTCATCCACCAGCGCGCGCAGCATGCCCTTCTCGTTCTTGAGTAACTCGCTAGGCTTGCCAAACTCGACCTACGAGCGCATGAGGATCAACATCACGAGCAGCGACGGCGGGCTTGTACACTTACAATGCGTCCTGCGTCAAGCACCATCTGAAATGTCACCATGATCAGGGAACCTTTAAAATCTACGTAAACGAAAACCTCACAATTTTGTCGGCATCCATGATCGTCTGCAGCCGGTGGGCGACCGTCAGAAGAGTGACGTCCTTATTCAATTCTTTCCGCAGCGATGTCTGAATGACCGTATCCGTGGCATAATCTAATGAATCGTGAGTCGTGAAAGCTTTTATGAAACTTCAGTGGCAAATTTCGATCTCACCTATCGCGGACGTAGCTAATAGAGACCGATCTCAGCTTGCGGAAAGTAAGGTTACACTCACGGACGCACCTTCATCAAGAATCAGTAGTTTACTCTGACGAACGATTGCCCGTGCCAAAGCCAAGATTTGTCTTTGTCCGACGGATAGGTTGCTACCGCCACTAGATATTTGACTGTCCAGCGTGATGCGCCCTTCTTCAGTCTCACTCTGCAGAGAAAACAGACCAGCCGAACGAAGCGCGTCGTTAAGCACCGAGTCATCGTGCTGCTCGAAGGGATCCAAATTCTGGCGCAATGTTCCGCTCAGCAGCTCCGGCTAGAGTTAATCGTGTTATTGGAGATAGCACGACGACGTAAGAGAATACGACTACGAACCACTTGCGGAATAATCGTGATGTTCGATCGAAGCGCATCCAAATTAACAGAATCGGTGGGCATGCCGTCGTAGTAGACTTTGCCCTCAGTCAAAATGCACCGTAGCAGGGACAGCGTCAAAGAGCTCTGCAACCACGGTAAGCGAGGGAAGCTGAGAAAAGCATGTGTAACAAACCTTGCCGCTACCCGTCCGTCCAACTATCAGAATGGTGAGTATTTAATGCTGAATAGACAAGAATAGTGCACACGTACCAATCCCAACGCGTTCTCCTGACTTCACCTCGAACGAAATTTCGTGCAGAACATGAGGACCATCCTGAACAAAATGAGCTGGACAAGTCAGCTGAGAGTATAGGTGAGACACACCTGCGAATAACGAGCAGACAGCTTCTCTACTTTGAGGTCACCGCTTGCAGGCCAGTATGCAGGAGGAACACCGCGCTCTGTGGGCTTCACCTCTTGTTCAATCTGAACGTACTGCTCGATACGCTCCAAACTGCGAATAGTCAGTTCGAGCCAAAAGATCGAAACTATGTTCCACCGACCTGTTCCCTACACGACGAAGCACGTCAGGTCGCAACTACACAAAGAGCGACAAAAAGGACTACGAACCTGACACTTCAAACTCGTTCACTAGGCGAACCCACCACAATATCATACCACTGAACCCAACTATAGACTACTCAAACGCGATGCATGCGGGGAGTATCCATGTAACGCACCTGCCATGTTGAGGGAGAAACCAATATTGGATGCTCTTAAGCCACTGCCGTATACAAGGTACGTCGCGAGACCAGAGGCAAACAGGGAACCTAGCGTGTCGATCCGAATACAGACCCACCTGCTCCTATAAGCCTAACAACATCACCTCAGCTAGAAGAAATACTCACCGGTTGAGATTGTAGAAAGTCCTGGCAGCTCTCGTGTAGCGATTGATGCGCTCGTGCGATTCTTTTCTGAACATTTCTTCTGCGCCGTATGCTCTTATGGAAGCTATACGTCTGAATGAGTATCAGAGAGCTCATTTCTTGGTACATAAACCTACTCAATCCCGCAATGGCAGCCCCGAAGTGTCCCAGAACGGGCGCTCGAGCGTTGCTCATCTCGCGCTTCACTGATAGCTGTGCCTTCATGTAGATTTGGCCGCACCAACCACCAAGTATCGCGATGAGAACGCCGGGAATCAGGAAGATGGGCGACATGACTACCACAGCAGCGAGCTTGATCAACATCGCGAGACTAATTTCTGCGACTGCACGGAAGTATTCAGTGATTGGGCCATCAACTACTCATAAGATTGGTTAGGCACAGTAGCAGGTGCGGAAGGCGGGACGGACCAGCTGCTATATCCTGAGTGCATCGAGTGATGATGCGAGATGTGGGCGTCATGTCCAGCCATCTACAATGAAGAAGTCAAATATTTATAGTGTAGTGAGCTCATGTGAGACATGCCTCAAGGTAGTGCCGAGCACCGACGTAATAAGTGTCTTGTGAATCGATCGTGAAGCCCTCAAAGCCCCGTAGACGTAGACAATCCAGCCGATACTGTAGGCAATCACTGTTGCAAGCAGGAGCATAGAGTAGACAGATAGATAACTGGTATAGAACAATGAGTCACACATAACGATCGCATGTACAAGAACAGGAGCTTACAATGGGACTTTGACTTCCGAAGCATCATGATCCTCGTACTGACGTGCCCAGAATCCAAGGAACCAAGTTTGTATCGTAGAGGCAAGCTCGGCCAAGACCTGCGTGCCGACACACATGAACCAAAAGAACACCTGGTGTCTTCCACCGAGACTCGAGAAGAACATTGTCACTAAAATCACCAAGTGAGTTGAACGCCATGATCCAAACGAACGACCTTACGAGCTTTCCAGCTGACATGCCCAACGGACACTTCCTCTGCTACGATCAACTTTCCGTCGGCTTTCTTCGCTTCGCCTGCTGGTTCGGATTCGTCGATCGCTTGTTCTGCCTTTTCAATCTCTTTGTTCTCCTCAGAGAGTTCCTTCAGCAATTTCTTATCCTTAGAAAGGGCTGTAGAGAGTGCGCCCTGACTGAGAATCCTACCGTCCGTTCCCAGTGACACCACAAATTGGGCGATTGGGGTTGCCATCGCCACGTTGTGAGTCTAGACTTATGGTTGGAGATTGTTGAACGAACATGTTGGTAACACACTTACAACTAGGAGGACAGTCCTATCACGAATGAGTTCACCCTTGAAGCACTTATCAATAATCCATTTGGCGGTGTGAACGTCAAGAGCAGCCAAAACCTAGAACTGTTTAAGTATAGTTGTAAGCACTCATGACCACTGCGACTTACATCGTCGAGTAGAAGGATCTGCGCAGGAGAGTAAACGGCTCGGGCAAGCGTGATACGAGCCTTTATCTAGAATGAATACAAGCAGGAAGAGCGTGTAACTGTCATCGTACCTTTTGACCACCGCTACGGACGCAGAATTAGCTTAGCCTGTCCAAAAACCGTACTACGAAACTTACCTGAGCGTAAGTCCCTTTTCACCAACTTCAGTCTGGTCACCGGCCTCAAATAGACTGAGATCGCGTCGTAAACCACACTGGTCGATGACTACGAACCGAATGTATAAACACAAAGCATTTCCAATGAGTCCATGCACAGACCTTTGTTGTACCGGACCTCGTCGTACGGTTGGCCAAATAAGATGTTGTCCTAAATTCGCACTGTTAAATATCGCACATCCGAAAGTCGGTAGACTCTTACTCTGATGGTCTCGTTTTGCACCCAGGACTCTTGCGCAGCGTAAGCGACTCCACCAGCGCGGGGGAGGTTTACAAACGAGTCCGGACCAGAGGGAATGTAATGCATTTCGCCTGTGGTTATGCAATAAGTACAGAGGATCAGTAATAACAGAGGGGCCACCTACCTAGTAGTGCCATCAGGAGCGAGGTTTTTCCAGAGCCAGTGGGTCCGATGATCAAATTGATCTTGCCTTGCTGGAATTTTACCTCGTCTTCGACGCGGAAAGTAAAGTTCCGCCTTGGTGTACCAGGCGTCGAGCTTCCGTCGTTTGTACTTGCCCATGTGAAGGAGGCATTCTTGATTCCAATCGCCTCGTCGGAATACAGTGCGGGAGGTAGGACGAGATCCGCGTCTTTAGAGTCCAGCGAGTATTGGTCCAATAACTCCGTCTAGAAAGTCATCGTTAAGACGTCGCTACACTATCATAGGGCGAGAGCTGACCTTGTGAAGGAACTCAGTCACACGGTCCAACGAGACTTTCGCTATATTCGGAATGAAATCAGTACGCAACGGGAAACGGGTTTTCGATACTTACCTCGGATAACAGCGGGAAGGAATCCAAAAACGCCGTGTAATGTCTGACGGAGCATATCGAAGACTAACTGTAGTGTGAGTGTCATATTGTTTCGAATGAACTATGACATACCGGCCATCGAGGAGAAAACAACCGAAGCTGAAAAAGGATATGGAAGACATTCAAAATAAAGAGGTAAACAGAACACGAATAGCTACCTGTGAGTTCTTTCTTCATGATGAGGGTCTAGAAGACAAATTAGTATCACTATAGGATGCCAAGTTGCTAATCAAAACGACATACAAATGTCACATATGTCACGATCATTGTAATGAACGGTATGACGTGGCTGTATGATATGAGCAATCGGTCCACCAGAGTATTAGATGTACACACTTTACGACATCGTTGACCAGACCAAGTAGCCTGTACTTCCATTGGAAGCGCAGCTCATCTTCGCGTTTTTTCGACAGCTGCTCGGCGACGCGGGGTTCCCATCCAAACAGTTTAACCATACGGATGACATTCATGACTGCATGTATGGCTTAGTAAGGAACCCAACCAAAAGAAGTAGTAGTGATTTACTTTCGGTAACACTTTCAACTCGAGCATCGGTCTGTGGATAAGGTCAATCTCATATCAAAATGCGCCTTCAGACGCAGCTCGTACCTTTTTCATCTTCTCTACCTGAACAACCTGAATCTTACTCGCAATATAGCCCGGCAGTGGGAACATTATGACCATAACAGCCATCCCCGTGAATGCGCTGAGGGTGACGACATCGAGTTAGGCCGCTATCAGTGAAGTTGGAATGGTGATAACAGACCTCCATCCCAGAAGATGGTAGAGGAACCACACGCAAAGACCAAGTTGAAGAGGAACCTGAACAACTATATGCAAGAATGACTCAGTTGATGGAGCAAGCGAGTAACCTAAGAACACACACCAAAAAACAGGAAATCACGGCCACCGATGATGTTATCCAAATCAGTGGTAACAAGGTTGTTAATCTTTCCGATTAGATTTTCACCCTTCGGACCAGACACGGCCGGAGAGTCATCGGCAGACTTCTTGCTATCACCGCTCACCGAGGCGGCCTTTGACTTCTGCTTGCCTTTGACGGAACTACTGTCCACGCTTACAGTGCTCGCTTGCATTGTCTCGTCTTCACTGCTTGTGGGACTCTCGTGCGTGATTTGCGACTCGGAACCTTCAGCAATGGACGCATTGTCTGGAGTAGGCACTGCGGTGCTAGCAACACTGTTACCTGGTGTGTTCTGGGTCTCTGCCTTCATGCGGATGCGGAGAGAATGCTCAAAGACGAGTTGCGTAACGATACCAGTAGCACGGACAAGCATTCTCGTCTGTCCCAAACAATCATCAGAACGTGTCAAGTATTAGATACATAAGGCTTAACATACTGTGTTGAAAATATACCACTGAAGTGCGATAGAACTGAAGAGCGGCCCAAAGAATAGCCAAGAGATCCATACCCAGGGTCGGACGAACGCATCCTCCCCGCCTGTTTCCAGATAACTAAAACAAATAAGCTCAATGCTGCTACATAGACGCAAAAAAAATTACCGGAGAAGTTGGTTAATTCCAACAGGGCTCGAAAGTTGGAAGATTGTCTGTCCTTTCATTGATGGAAGGTCGGTAAAAGGAAAAATATATATGCATACCTCCAGAGTTAGCATCAGAGCCAGGACAAGGTAATCCGTTCCTGGGGAATACAGTCAGAATGAATACCAGACAAGCATTCGGGTGACATACTGAATACCCGCATGAGACCCCAAAAGAGATGGCGATTAGTTCCGACTTGAAAAGGGTCAAGATGCTACTCCCCAGTGAATATTCACCACGACCGCGAAGATAATACGCGTACCTTGAAACTCCGCTTTACGAGATGTTTGGCACTGTCATAATCCGCCAGAGCAGGGAGCTTCTCGATGGGAAGATGGGGAATTTGGTAGGCGTCAATAACAGTCTTGTCCAACCAGACGTACAACATCATGGACATGATCGACGAAGTTTGCTCTGCGACGGGTTGCCATGGGTCCTGTTGTAGAGTGTCCAGACGGCCGTACAACATTTATAGTCAGAACCATACCTTGGAGTCAACAGGAACATATTGCCGAGGGATGAAGAAGGGGACTATGACAGCGGCAAACGTCGAGACGACTAACTTGGCCCACAATAGACCGCTCTCCGCCTTGTCTTGAATTGGTAGCACGTATGTCGCGAGAGGCCAGATGTCACGGTAAATATAAATTGCCCAGACGGCACCCAAGACGAAGACGAGGTGTCTTGTGACAGTGGTGTTCGTCTTCGTGGATGTCACCGTGACGGAAAGTAGTGCCAAGAGAGAAGCGTAACCCTTGTATGCATGCGATGAGGGCTGTGGGTACGCGAGACAGAAGCCATGACTTACGAGTGTACCGCTTAGCGCAATGTGGAGCCATGCACTAGGCTTAATAGCATGTGGAACTAGGTCTCCCCGGATGTAGAATGTCGTAGTGGAAACAGACATGCCCAGTAAAGCGAAGCAAGACAGAAGCCTCGCGAACTTGAACGCAAATATGACCGGGCCTCCCAATTGAGCTACGTGCCCAACGTGTGGAGCTGGTTCCAAGTCGTCCTCCGTGGAGATCTCATCGATGCCGTGACCATTGACAAGGGTGGTTTCTGAAGGCGAAAACTTGGCGTGCAACTTCCGAACGGGCGCTGACCGGAGGATTAGCTGGAGGAGTAGAATGACAATAGACACTCCTGCAGCATATGCAGAAAATGCAAGGCTATCAAGAAATATGTCCCTGCGAGAGGTCAGACACGAACACGGTCGCGCAAGGGGCGAAATGACGTACTTTGAATAGCTCTGGAGGGATGCTATAGACGCGTGGAAGGGGGTGGATGCTCCAGGAGACAGTCCAAATATGACCTGGAAGTCTGTCCACAGCGAAGGGGAAAGACCGCCCAGAGGGACTTGGGCCTGCATTGGGCGAGGAGGTGGAGGGAAGAGGAAGGGGCGGGGGAGACGCGACTATAAGTATACCAGAGCGCGCGAATTGACGGCGGTTCCGATGCCATTTCAGTCAGCGCGTCGGCGCCCAATCGTGCGCGATTGCCAATTCGTCTCAGATTGCCGCTGCCTCAGCTCTCAGCTGCCTCATAATATGCGGTTGTCTCGTCCATGTTGATATGTTTCGATCTGGTCACAGTGTTTTTGCGCGCGATGCAACCGTTGCTGCCTCTCAAATCCTGGCAAAACCAAATATTTGGGCCGAGCAAGCTCCACCTGTTCATTGGGTGTCGCATCAGATCTCGGACCATACGTTTGAAGTTGAACCATGCGGCGGGCTTGATCGCCGCGCGGTGCACTGAGTTCCTGTTCAACGGTGGCCTTTCGCATTCTGCTTCACCGTCGCAATGCACATCCTCACCACGTAGCCCAGAATTATCCAGCCACGAAGCTACATTTGAGCCAACACTCCCTGCAACCCCAGGATAGAAAGGGCTTTAATAGTATGTTCTGTTAGCCTCTTTTCGCGGTCTCATCTACTTACCAAGCGGACAGGCGCCCTCAAACTACCAGTGGATGGAGGTTGCCAATTGTGGTGGTTAAGCAAAGCGAGTTGGCACAAGGGTACGCATCGTAAAACGTTGCAGCGCATTATAGACTTATTCCAAGACTGTAGTAGACCAACTTTGAAGCGTCAACCGACAAAGCTCGTGCAGTATCCTTCATCATACTGACCACAGACGTCCCCATTCTGCTGATATCTTTGGAAGACGAGCATTCTCGTGTTTCCACGTATGCTGAGTTAATGTTGAGCGCATACCCCAGCCTTTCCGGGCGCATGAAACCACATTTTGTCTTGTTTAGAGAAAACTTGAAGGAAACTGTCATCACGTTCCGAAAATACCTGTAGAACGCCATGCTAAGCTTGAAGCACGAATTTGAAATAGTGCCAGGTGGCAGGGTGACAAGTGTCTATCAACAGTTCGTTCATATCTCCTGTAAAACTCTCCTACTCATTGCAACACAGCATCTCCATAGATCCAAGTTATTTCAATTCTACGAGATGACTTGTGAATCCGACACACGAACTGCAGTACAACATCCGCAAAACAAACTCGGTTTGTGGAGCACCCTCGTACAATCGCTGAGAATTCTTCAGAAAAGGCGCGTGCGATAGTTAGAATCAACAGACCCCGAATGCTCTCTGCCACCACCTCAACTTTCATATATATATTTGCTACAGCTATACTCAGCTACAGCGTCGTATCTCATTTTCGGCATCAACTGAGCGTGCTGGAGGTGCCGAGGATTAAGTATGTCAAGGCGATTGCGAGCTCATCGACTGTAGCCAACTCGATTGATTACCTAGACTCCCTGTGCATCTCTGCAGACGTTTTACTGACTCCGAACACCTTTGAAGCTATGCACGGATTCGTGACGGCTCTTTGTTCAACTTGTGAGTCTCAAAATCCATCATTTCCGCTTGAACAGGTACTCCCGGATAGCTGTTTCATTACTCTATGACCTTCTATATCACGACATCCATCGACCAAGTGACAGTTTAGAAGGACTCAACAGATATTTCACTGCTTCTATGGTATCAGTAAGTCCGGAACATGAGCGATTCTGATATTTTGAAGACGTCTGTCATCCACAATTTGAGAAACGTAATCTCTGCGGTGCCTATATACACCACGAACTTTCTGATCCTCGCAGAAATATCGAGAACCCTCGATTTTGTATCCAGCCATCTTCATATTGATATGTTGCCCCCGGAAAATCAGTCGCCGTGAGGCCTGAGATGTCTCCAGGCCAGTGATTTTCTCGGCGACATGACTGGACTGACCAACTCGAGTGGTGTTGCACGAAACTATCGTTCATTTATGTTCTAGCATCGTTAGAATTCGACCGGGCCCCGACCCAGCCGAGGCGCGTGTCGCATTAAGCCGCCCTCAACCTGGAGCCCCGAGACCAGTGCAATTCTGCTCCATCATATTGCCCTTAAGGCGGCACATCTATGTCAAGACGGAACAGTTCAGCAACTGCTGATACATCGCGTAATCTTGGTAAGTTGCATGTTGCTGCATTCAAATTGACAAGCATCTTCTACGACATTTAAGGTATTATGATTTGATAGATCCTATATCATGTCGACATCTCTGAAATCCCACCGAGTTCTACCCCCTGACATTGAATTAAATTGATGACATCTTACCTAATTGGTTGATCATCACGTATGTATGCTATAAGACGTTTCGCTCAATGATACTTACATTGGCTCGCACTTTGCAAGCATCATGAGTGAACTCACCTCTATTCTTGACGTTACAATCGGCTGTACGTTCATAGGCATTGTCTTCGCCACAATGTGTGTATACCATTTCTGCTTGGACATACCCATGTGTCATTGGATTCTAATGTGTATTTCATAGGTTCTATGGCATTACTTGTGGTCAGGTACTATATTATGCACGGGAGTATCCCACCGACAGTATGTGGATGAAGTTTTTGGTAAGTGATGTTGTATTCAGTGCTGTCTTGTGCGAATTCTACTCGCTATTGATTTGCTGCGTTTAGGTTGCACTGCTGTGGTGTGTACTGCCCTTTGTGTACGCTCAGAGTGAATCTCATTACTTGAGAAAGGCTTCTTGACACTGCTACGACAATCATAGACTCTCAGGTGGCTAGTCTACTCTGCAGACATGGGGGTTCTTTCATGACAATATTCTAGATTCTTTGGGTCTATATTGTAAAGGACCGTAGAGATATCCTTATGCTGCTTTCAATGTCCGTGTAAGTATCCGCGATAATCACTCTTTTTAAAACGCTCACATTGCATTGACTGACAGTTCAACCTTGGTCTGTGCTCATTGTCTAGTTGTTCCTTTAGTGCACATTTTAATATAGAGGTCTAGTGCGAATTCGCACTTGCAGTAAGCAGTGCTATAGAGCATGTATGTGATACGCATCTTGTTCACGTGTCCATCAGGCAGTAACTGTATTTATCGTCCAAGCGTAAGCATCATCTGCGTCAGATCTCCCCATGATTGACTCGTTCAAAATAGCTATTACATGAAATCGATCTGGGGTTGTAAGGTACTTCCCCTCCCAATAAGATACTTGTCTTACGGTCAATATTCGGTCACCAGTAATCGGAAACGCAAGATATAGGATCCCGTTGACTGTAGGCACGGTATGCGTTGCCGGTTGACTTCATGTATTGATATCCGATAACGAGACCTCTGTCATATAGGGCACTTTGGCTTTGATATCTTGTGGTGTGTTGCGTTATTCTCATTTTCTTACTGCTCTGACAAACATACACCGGTCATTGAAAATTTACTCTCGTATAGCTTGTGGCTTCGGTTAGTATCCCTTATTGTGTCTTCAAGTTGATTTTGTCCTAATCGCTGCATCTTTCAGCAAGTATCTATATAGCGTAGGGTCCCTGTTCATCCTCAAACCATTAGCTCATATGAAGGACAGAAATACGGACCCTACAATTCCTGGCGGCTTCATTAAAACAAAGGTATTGTCTCCTTGTATAGGTCTTCTACGCTACCTCTGAAACATTTTTCAGGTCACTGGGTCTGTGGAGCCCGTCACAGCTTTTGTTGTAGATATATATATTACTGCAACCCTCACCTGGCTACTGCGCAAGGAGACTTCTGGGTATAAATCGTGAGGTTCATGAGAGACTGGAGCCAAACAGAGTGACTGACATTTGCATGCAGCACAGACACACTTATCCGACGACTCACTCTATATACCATTAACCGGGGCATTTTGACAACGTCTGATTTCACTCATTATTGGAACAAAGACAGCATCTCCTCACATTTATTTTCATAGTGTTTTGCAAACAGCTCAAGCTTTACTGGTACGTGCTCATCATGAAGAATATATCAAAACTTAGCGCTATCGTATAGTTTATGTTTTGTAGCCCAGAAGATTTATATTGGATCCTCTTTCACTTCCCTAGCAGCAAGGGTAAGCCTTATAATGTTTCGCAGAAAGTCGCTGATTTTTCTTTGCGTCACTGGCAGTTTACGTAAACTCTGTCCTAGCGATGTATGACTTGCTAAATCCATGAGCGTATGCTCCTTTGATAACTGCCGTGCCATCACAGGTTGAACGCACGGAATCATATCCGCAACAGTGACCGCCCATACATCTCCACTGACTTCTCTTGTCAGGATATTCGGACTGACGAACAATCAGCGGGTAGCACGCTCACTGGCAATGGTCACTCATTGAAAGTGTCCTTGAAGTAAGCGAATCATAATCTACTCTGGTCAAGACTGACTTGTCTTCCTTGCCGTACCCAAAGCACTCAGCGTCACCCAGAGTGACCGCAAACGCGCTCAGGACGAATACATAGACTGCCAAGGGAGTGGCTGAGGATTTAGGCTGGGTGCGAGAATCGCCCGGCAATGTGTCCATTTTCGTTCGACTCGGCTGGCAAGCAGTAATGTGAAACCAATCGAGAGGAAGAGATGTCTCTGAGGGTTGTTTCCTGGGAGAAAGTATGCGATACAGTTTTCGTCTCACAGAAAAAATATTAGGCTTATATGTACTCTATGCTACATTTTATCAACCTGTAAACATTGAGATCGCATTTAGGATGTGAATTTATTCATCTATCCGGGAGCGGGGTTGTAAACCGTACACAATGATGATAATGTTTCTCTGGATAAATGACTGTTTATATTAGTACGCATACAGTGCGCTCTCCCGTGGATGTGCTTTTGCCTGTTCAATATACTTATAGTCAATTACCATATAGGTCATATACACAGGGTGGAGCGGAGCGATTCGCACCGCAGGCATACAGTAGAATACTCGCTTCGTGGGGCTATATTTTTGCAGTATGGTCGATATTGGTTTGTGCGACTATAGTCCGAAAATCCAAGCAAAGAACACGTACATGGAATATGTCGCGTAACTAAACAAGTCACTATGTGGACCTCCTATCCCAGCACTATGCAAACTTCCATGAGAGCATTTCTCATCACTCGCAATCGGCCATCCAAGGTGACAACGGCTGACAGCTAGATAGGAAAGGAGGTGAGAGCATATGTGGGTGGATGAGCGGACGATAGGAGTTCTGCAGAACGCTGGTCGATTCTGTGTCCAAGCCTCGTCGTCTTGTTGCTCGGGCTCAGATCAACGGCGTGTCTATGGTGATTTCGTCTCGGTTCTGGTCCCACGAGGAGCAGAGAAGAATGACGTTCCTCTTATCTGGGTGCTGACGGACCAGTGCTGGGCGATCTGGACTCAGCTATTGTCAGGGGGTATCGAGGACCGAGTGCAAGCCGCTAGAAGTCCAATCTTCGCAAGTAGATTGGGTTTCTGGGGACAACAAAGCTGTTACTCACTTGAAAGTGTGCACATCCATCACCGAGCCCAACAGAGACGAGTCGAAGCAAGGAAATCCATGCACAATGTATGCATGCGCAGCAGGGCCGATGCCTCAAGGAGCGCAGTGCTGGCGACTGCAGACAGTAAGGATCCGGTCGTACTCAGAGGACGTGGAAGATTGGGCAGGAGTCACTGGCCTCGGTGAGGCCGGCTCGTGCAATGCGTCGGGCGAACTTCGTGAACGCATGCTACATACTAGCAATCCGTCCGCCACATCTGTATGCTGCACGTCCCGCCCCTTCTCGGATTCAATGCCAACACGCAGGTCAATAGCCCGTGTAGAAGGTAACGCCACTCACCGTGCACCAACATTGAGTTGCAGACCAGACAATCCTGTACGTGTCGTGCCATATTCCCCAGGCTCGAGTTTGCTTCCTGAACGCGATGACGCCCGCGGCCCATGACGTTCACAAAGAGATGCTCAGATCTCAGTCCCCTTGGTTCAATTCTGTCTTATCTGCAAACCTCGCAAGGCATGGTATGGATCGCTTGCTATTGCGTGTCTCCAGCAGCCCACACCGAGCACTCACAGCTCTCAACACGGGCTAAATTGAGATAAGAAGTAAGTAAGAGAGCACCCAATGCTCAGCAAAAGCTCTCACTAATGAGGCCTGCAGCAATCAATGGAACCCACCCTCAGTATAGCCAAGACGATCTGTGCATGAGGAACGAGGGCGGAAGATTGCCCATTGACCAAGCATCAGTCTAGAATGGAAGTGTCGACTTGAAACATGGACCTGCAGTCGCCCGTCGCTGTTGCAATCACCGCCTAGCATGCAGCTGAGGCGCGTACAGCGGTAGTCTTATGGCATTGGCATGGGCCTCCTGCGTGAGCGCTGTAGTTTGCCGGGAACGTTCTGTATCATTCAGACGTTTATTTGCAGCAATATCTTTGGGCAGGAACTCTGGTTTCACCCACGTTTGTTCCTGTACGTACCTTTATGTGCCTCTCATCATGTGTAATTGGGTTTAATACAATAGAGTTCAATAGACCCTGCCCTCAGCGCATGATGTTGGTCCGATTAGCTGTCAAGGCTATGTAGCACATAGCCCACAAGACGCTCATGTTGTATCAGATACAGAAGGCGAAGAAGGGGACGCTATTACAGATCGTGCCGGTAAGTAGTTCCTCTCTGCTGCGTGTGAGTGTGTCGAATGTGGATGCTGGTGGATGATTGGTCAACTATTCGACATCTGGCCTGTGGTTTTGAGCTAACTTTCATCAGAATTATAGGAGCAGATAACTGATATTGTCACAGATGATGTCTGTTACTACAGCTAGCTTCCATAGCTTCGCCAAGTGCGTTGTGGGTTGAATGCTCAATGTTGCTTTCGTGCCCAGGACAGGCTCAGACCACAAAATTGTAAATGGATGGCTAGGAGCTGCACGCACAGGTTTCTCCCCCATGCGACTTTTGCCTCTAACCTTGCTACAAGCTCCATCGCAACTTGGTGACATTCCTGTCTGTGTGGTTATTGGCAGCTCCTCCGTGCGCTCCTGTCTCTTGTTGAAGCATTGCAATGTGCGGGCGCCATCTGAGTGCCAGGCTCCCGTCAACTCGATGCCACCAATTTGTTTAAGCAATAGTATTATTTGCTTCCTTGCCTTGAGCAGTTCATACCTCCACCATCTCACCACGATAACAACTTCCTTGAAGAAGTTGTCGGAGCTGCTCGTGTAGCCGCTGAATCACTTTTGTCCCTGCACATTGGGCTGCTTAGTGTGTCCGATCATGGTATGTGACTGAGGCTCTTTATCGGCAGTCTAGTGCAATGACTGTCATCATTTTCTTGCCCATCCGTCAGCCTTTCCAATCAATCTCGGTAAGCGAATCATCTTCAGAGTGTAGCCAGTGCGCATTAGTACATTAAGATTACTGGTAGCAGCCTAGTACGAGGCAGCCGATAGCTAAGTCAACTCGCAGCATAGACTTCTCGACATATCTATGATTCATTTTGCATGACTTGTTTTCGAGCTTCAACTAAGTTACAGTTACACCATGACGCGGTCTGGAATTCGAGCCCAACTGAGCCAGCGACTGTAGATACGCAGAAAAGTGCCATTCGACAACTTCATTTCGGTACCGATGTATCAGGTGAGTGCCTTTATGCTTTGACGGTATCTTTATCACTGACCTTCTCAGCTGATAGAAAATTGTCTTGATGGACAGAAGATTATTGTTGCCTTGTTCGCAACTGTCACATCATTGAATGATGATGAATGCTCAGTTATATGATGCCGTTCTTTACTTCTATACTTCTGAAGCTGATGTTCTCGTGTACTATCTGTTTTAATCTACTGCAGGGCACTATCAAATATGTAATTGGATTTGTCAGATGTTGATGTCCATACTGACTAGGGCAAGCTTTTACCTGAACTGTTGTTTGTGGCAGTACGGGACACCACATATGATCGCCTATTAACAAGCCATTAAACATTATGCAAATTGCAAGGAGTCTATGCAGGTGTATTTGACAATAGATCTGGTGTCTAGATTGATGAAAAAGCAATAGGATTGTTGTGGTATGAGATGACATTGTTTCAAGTTGATTGTTTATATTGATGAGCTCTTCACTATATAAGTGTGCTTGCTATCACAGGTTCATACTTTGCCACTGATTTCTAGCAAGCTGCGGTCTCACTATGGATATTATATCTTCAACTGTTGGTTATGCATTTATAGGTGTTGGTTGTGCTACAATGTATGTATACTTATCATTGCACACATGTTTGTCTCTATTGTGACTATTATATCAGTATTGATTGATTTTTTAGGTTTTATGGTGTTACCTGTGCACAGGTTCTATATTATATATGGACATATCCCAATGACAGTGTGACATTGAAACTACTAGTGAGTCTGCTGCATTACTATCAATGCATTTTGTGCTTATATTCATGTCATATGTAGGTTGCTGTATTATGGTTTGTGAGAGCTGTTTATGCCCACTGTCTGCTGATATATTATTGGAAAAGGCTCATTGACACTGTTACAACAACATTGAGCCTCCAAGTAAAGTTTATCATCTTCATTCACTTTCTTTTATTGAAAGACTTTAGTTCATTTGGGAATATACTATAACAAGTCATAGCAACTTGCTGGGACTTCTTTCACTGCAAATGTTGGTATCTGTATTTCTGTTAATATGATGGTTCTATGTTGATGTTTTCATATGGCTTTCAGGACTGCTATAGTCTGTATTTAGTTCAGAAAAAATTGTTGGTTTTACTGACTGTTGATTGTAGTGTGAATTTGCATTTTCAGTAAGCTGCATTCATATAGCTCTAGGAAGTATTTGTTCACACTTATAGTAGACAATACTAGTTTTTTTTGTACATATGTAAGTGTGGTGTATCATGAATGTCTGGTGTAGATTTTCAGCTCACTTGAATATGACAGGTATTATACACATATGATATGGGGCTGTAAGTTTTCATTTCTATGAATAGTTTGGATGCTTCATGATTTATTTCCAGTAATGAGAGAAAGAAGATATCAGCTACCTGTTGTTGCTTTTGTAGTATGTTCCATTCTTAAATTGTTTCTATCAAGTCTTGATTCTTAAATATTCAAAGGTCATCATAGCTTTGGTTTCATGTGGTATGCCCCATTTTTCTACTCTAAATGCTTCTATATTCATTTGTTATCTTAAGCTTGTGGTTTTGGTACATCTTAATCCTTGCTGTCAAGACTAACAGAACTCATTGTGATTATTTTAAATAGATAATGTTCATGTAGTGTAAGTTGTTCTGAATTGTACTCTTAATTTATATATTTGTATAATAGATCTGACAACAACTCAGGATTGCACACCCAATTGTTCCTAGTGCATTTGCATATGCTAGAGTATGTGACAGCCTTATCAATCCTATTATGATCACTGGCTCTGAGTCTTTTCACAGGTGCCTGGGACTATACAGCCTGTCACAGCTTTTTTCACAGATATATACATCACTGTGATTATCACTTTAGCTCTGCGAAGTGAGAAAACAGAATATAGCAGGTAATTTTATTTGAATATTGAGTTAAGGATGCCACTGATTGGATGTGTAGTACAAATGCACTTCTTCAAAGATTGACTTTGTATGCTATTAATCGGGGCATGTTAACAAGGTGTGTATTAACAATATTGATGATGGTGATATTTCGCTCTCTTACTGTTTCTGTGTTGATAGCGCCTTGCAAGCATTCAAGGCTCTACTTGTGTGTATCCATGACCAGAAAATATAATACTTGAATTTATACCATTGCACAGTTCATTTTGTGTAGCCCTGATAATCTGTACTGGACACTTGCTTACTATCCTTTTACTAAGGGTATGTCTGCTTATAATGTTTAGCACAAGCAGATGGCTAATTGATTTCTTCATAGCTTATGTGAATTCTGTTCTAGCAATGTATAATCTCACAGTTTATATCACTCCAATTAGAATCTTGCTGACCATAGTGGTGCCACAGACTAAACACACGGAATCATATACGCAACAACAGCCACTCATATGTTTCTAGGGACCTGCCTACTCCGAGTATGTTGACCAGGCAAAACACACACACCAACAGTGGCAGCTTGTTGAAATGGTACCTCTCCCTGTGAGCTCATAGTTTTGTGATTGACGCTTTCCCCGATTGGCATAACATTAATGCACCTTCATAATTGCAGCACAAAGCACATGCGTGGCGCTCCACCCACTGGGACCGCCATTGCGCTTAATATGAACTCACCGGTCGCAAGGTCGGGGGTGGCACAGTGCTGAGCATATTTGCAGCTGCAAGAACGATATAGCAATGTGTTCACCCCGTTCGACCGGGGGAAGCGAACTTGAGATCAAACGGTATGAGTTGAAAGGAACCAAAGATGTTTGGGATTGGCTGCTGATAAAAGTGCATGCGACGCAATTATAGTTTCGCAGAGGTTACACCTGTACTGCATATTACGTACTGATGACGCCGGATACAACTGGGACCAGGCATTAGACCTGCAGATATTGATATTCCTTAAGCCGGCTTTGATTGGCTACGAACAGAGCAGAACTTCATAGCTACGTAGATAGAATGGAATCGTATTGCTCGTGTAGTGATAAGACTAACCCTGAACGCAAAACGAGCAGGTTCACACGGGCCGATGACAGACATGCACGACCCATACCACAGGGTTTGGCGGTGTGCTTGCTCATGGACGAGCTTTGATGTTGCTCACGATAAGACTCTGGGGACCAGCAACACGTGAATTTCATACCAAGTGCATACAGTGAGTACGAGTGAACCTACCTTATACGCTTGTACGTCTCCTTTGAATTTAGCCACAGCACCGTCCGCACACACCCACAGCTAGTCACAGTCAGTATGCGTCTGAACGAAGGGTTGACTCATCAAGCTCACCTCTTTCGCGACCGTGGTGATAAATCGTTCGTCATGAGAGATCAGGATCACGCCCCCATTCCAAGAGCTCAGAGCCGCCATCAAGGCATCAAGACCCTAACATACTGCTCAGATGCCAGACAACCAGTCGAAAAATTACGGAGTATACCTCAATATCTAGATGATTAGTAGGCTGCAGGACAGACATCTGTCAGATTCCTCTTCCATTTAAAATAATACAGGATACAAACCTCGTCGAGAAGTAAGACATGCGGCCGTAGCAATGACAACACAGCAAAAGCAACACGAGATTTCTGACCTCCACTCAGTGTGCCAATGAGTTGTAGACTAACATAGTGGGCTCAAATCAGCCCGGACATAATAAAAAGGGGGATAATCCTCACCCTGTCATCCCGCTGATCTGGAAATTACCCAGATGGGAGCGATATTCCTGTTCGGTCTTCCCGGGAAATTTGGACGCCAAGAACTGTACAGGGTTCATTGTGGGTATCAAAGTGTCCACATGGTGTTGAGCAAAGTAGCCTCTGCAAGCAACAGCATTAGAGAGATACGACATGCACATAATATTCCGGCGCCTACATTCTCAGCCGGCCGTTTTGGCTCACATGTCCAGAGAGCGGATTTAACTCGCCCGTCAACAACTTGATCCTAACAGGGGACTGATTCAATAAGATGCCACCAACATATGTCGTTCGACTCACAGCGTCGACTTTCCTGCACCGTTGGGTCCGACCACAGCGATACGTGAGTCAAGTCCAACATCAAGATTAATGCCCTTCAGCAGTATCCGATCAGACGTATATCCGAACGACGCCT